CTCTCTCTCTCTCTCTCTCTCTCTCTTTCTCTCTCTCTCTCTCTCTCTCTCTCTCTTTTCCTTAGGCCTGTGGTGCATAGACTGAGAATAATCATAATCCTTGGTTCATGACAAACTCATTGTTTCATGCACAGTACTCTTATTTTTACTGAATTAGTTAATGACTTACTTTCTGTTATATAATAAACTCCCTGAACCATCAAAAAAAAAAATCTACAAACATACTAACTGACAGCTAACCATATTCCCCTCCCTCCTGTCTTAAGCCATATTTCTGCTCTCCATAACTCTGATATTTTCTAGACACCTTAGGCTTTTTATATAATCAAAGACAATGCCAAACATTCTTAGTGTGTAGTTTGTTTTCAGCACTACTTTCCATCTCCCTATCTCCATCCTAGAGATTCTGCTAAAGTATGCTCAGCAAGTCAAGTCTGCTTATACGACCCATCTAATAATGAACTTAGATAATACACCAAACCTGCCCTCTGAATCTAAAATGCTCTTCTCTGGGGCATATACAAAATGTGAAATCATTGCCAGAGGCTTTAAAGCTATAAATGCTGATGCTCTTTGCCAAGTCAAGTGTGGAACATAAATGGGGAAGGCTAGTCTGTAATAAAAGAGATAAAGAGTGTTACAAATTGGAAAATTCAGAAAGTCTTAACCTAATTGTTTATGTGCAATAAGGTCAGCAATAATAATTGAAAGTTGGGCTAAAAATGCATTTGAAAAACCTCCTTTAGGCAGTGTCCAAGGAAAGATTAAATTTATAAGAACTAATACTTTTTTGATGTCTATAACATCCCACAATCTGAGCTAAGGGCTTTCAAGTGTGTGTCTTGAAGAAAGAAAATTAAAGAGATATTTTTAAAATACACATAAATATTGAGTGGTGGATGGAATGCAGGCTTACTCCAAATCCTGAGCTTTAAATTGTTATATTTTATTGCTTCAAATCAGGAAATAAATGAGGAGAGAATAATATTATTCTGTCTGTAATTTTTGATAACATTTATATTTATATAATATAAAATTATAGAGATCTAATCCTGGATTTTTATGGATAAACTTTTCTTCAAAATAATTTTTGATCTGGAGGAAAACAAAAGGGAAGAAAGAGCACTGAAGAGGTACAGTGATGAGATGTGAGATGAAAAACCAGTTTGTTAGAAGCCACAGAGTCAATGATATTGAAAGAACAGTATTTTTGGTCCTTGTGGAAAAAAATCATTTGCAGACTCTAGAACCTTAAGTAACATTATTTATAAGTAAAACTTACAAGAGCGTAAAAGTCTTGTCTCTCTTAAATTTTATAAAGTTTTATCAAAATAGTTACAAATTTGTTACAATTCCCATTGAACTCCCATAACACTCTGTACACAATATAATGTAATTAAGAATTATGGGGTAAATACTTATTTTTATGCCTACTGACTTCCCACACTTCTATAACTATATTTATACATAGAGAAGTTATTACATAGAGAAGGTATAACCCATTTAAATTCTTTAGCACTAAGGAGATAATATGGTATCCAAATATAATCATTTTTAATATTATTTAATTTTTCAGGTGAATTATGTATTACTCATATAATGCTTGTAAAAAATACAGTCACCTTAAAACATATAAATAAATTAGCACAGTTTCTGTTTATTATTTCATTTTATTTTATTTTAAACAGAGGAGAGCATAAATGCAGTCCCCTACCACCACAAATCATGCAGTCGAGTTTCCCACATTTGGGAAAATCACAAGGGTCAGCACATCCAGAGCACAATGGATAAGTCTCACCCTGGGAAAACCACCTACGTGATCATGGTATCTTCCCTGCCAGGTATCTATTCGCCATCTTAGTTATAAATCTCTTTTTATGTTGACTACATACCCCTCTTCACATGTATACACAACTTTTGCACCATATTCAAAAGCATCTCCTACTGTAAGTTGAAAAGAACCAAAGAGAGTATCTCCAGGATGTCCACAGGGCTTTTCTAAAATGAAAAAATATATACATAATATTAGTATGCAATACAGAGGACACATTTATGTGGGAGTTGGGGACAAGGATATTTACATTATATTAGAGGACAGTATTTAATATAAGGAAGACTGAAAATGATAAAGATATTTTTTATAACTGAACTTAGCTGTATGCTTGTTTTTGAATTTTGGAGGATGACCATCTTTTCAAAAATGATAATGGATTGTTTTGTATTTAAATGACAATAGTGAAATAATCCAGCAAGTATTGTTACAATATTAAATATTAAATATTTTTACAACTAAAAGTTTCATAAATTTTAAAAATGTCTGAAGTGCTTACTCCGACATATCCTTGATGGATTAAGAGAGACCCATTGTCCATTCTTGCATTCCATTACTATATTTCCAAGTGTTCTATATCCAGGGCGGCATCTATAGGAGGCCTTAGTGCCTTCTAAATATGTTTGGTCAGTCCAGGAACCTGACAGAATTTCTGTACTTTTTCTTGGAGGGGGTTCTTTACAATCTACAAACAATAAAAGCAAAATAAATGATTAAAGTATCTATTCACAAACATACAGTATGTTTAGGTAATTTTTTTTTGAAAACTAGGGAACATTATATAATTATACATTTAAAATGTATTATGCTATTCCATTACATAATAAATACATACCATAACAAAAAATATAGAAGAGTAAAAAAAAAAAAGTGTATGAGGAGAAGCAATCAGTTACAGGATTTATAGAAATCAACAGGATTTATGTCATCAATATAAAAGAACTTATAGG